CATATATTTAACTTATTTATTTTATATTAATATTAACCTTATCCGTTAAAGAACCAATAAAAGACAAGAAAATATAGTTATTGGTGATCAAACCTCATGAATAGTTTGTGAGAAATAAAAGCAAATAGAATGAGAAGAGGAAATTCGTATTTGAGTGAGTTACCTAAAAAAAGAAAACTGAAATTCATTAATTTAATCGAAAGAAAAATTTGTAACGCTACAATTACTTGAACATTTAACATTTTTCGCTAAAAGACACTGTTTTTTGTCTTCACTGAAACGATAGCCATATTCGCACGCTGTATAATTATATGTACGTTTATCCAAACATGTATAATGAAACTGACACGATGGACGATATTTATCGATGTAATGGCCATCTAATAAGTCTTTACAAACTGGTTTGAATCCGCACAATGGACTGTGATCATAGTCACCTAAATAAATAAATTCCACAAAGATCTTTTTCCTTCTTTAGATCCATTTCATACAGGATGATCCAAAAAAAACTTATCCCCTGTGTATTTATTGACTTTCTTGTGTACAAATATAATTGAGCGTTTTATCATTAGTTTATTCGAATAGAGCAAAGATTTCTGGACAAAATGAGACGTCTCCGAGCTCTCTAAGAGCTTTTCTCATGAAACATCATTGAATTTACGAAAGGTCTCAAGAGCATAGTTTTCTTGTTTGCCCATTAATTGTCCCGATTTTGGTGGTATAGGACCTTTCGTAAATTCAATGATGTTTCATGAGAAAAGCTCTTAGAGAGCTCGGAGACGTCTCATTTTGTCCAGAAATCTTTGCTCTATTCGAATAAACTAATGATAAAACGCTCAATTATATTTACACACAAGAAAGTCAATAAATACACAGGGGGTAAGTTTTTTTGGATCACCCTGTATATGTGCAGGCATTTAACTTACACGGCACGATACACGGTGTACGCGTTCCACACACAACAACTTGATAGCTTTCACAACTTTTCGATAATGTGGAAAATAATTTATAAGGCGGGCAAATTTGTTCTTTCAATTGACCAGTTATACACTCGAAATATTGGCAACAACTTGAGGGATCAACAAATTTCATTCGTTGTCCGTTTGCTGGACATCGATTTTCGCCTGAAAAATAATTATCACATCTATGAGACTTTGTATTCGGGATGTCAACAACAACACCGAAATAATGTATTAGTTTACGTACATTCAGGAACATTCTTTTTCCAATCACATGTGTCATGGCCTTTGAAAAAAACATATATACCCAAGTTAGTGAAATTATTTTATGATTTGACTTTTATTTTACCTTTATGATAGTAGAGTCCGGGTATACATAACATAAGAGTGTCTTTACCACCTAGAAAAAAACTCTGACGGTTTTTTCTTCTTTGATAGTGATGAACATACCACTGCAAAAATGATATGCTGCACAATCATACAGATCTTCAAAAAATTTTGATACGCCTGTTGGACATTTAATAGTCGAATAAACATTTTCAAGATGACGATTTGATAACACGTAATTTTCCTCACTTAAATTTTTTAACGTTGATGACGTATACAAGTGACCTGCTTTACCTTAAATATATGAAAAACATGGTGAATGTTTGAGGTAAATTGTAAAATTCAGTTTCCTACAGTCTGAATCTTTTGGCCAAACACATTGATCGTCTTTTGTACTATACCATAAACCCCCACCACATGCTATTGGTATGTGTACACCTAAAATAAAGATACTTAGATAAATAATATAGAATATCTTCAACGTGGTATATAATAATCTTACCCGCAGTACAATAATGATAAACATGACAGTACTTTGGATCAGGATAATTCCCTTCGCTATCGTATTCACACGTATAATTACTATCAACTTTTAATGCTGTCCACTTTTTTGTTGACTTTTTTTGCCATGCACGCGCTGAATCAGTCGAAAACAATGTCACTAAAATAATACTATTTATTTAGAGAATGTAGTTAGACTATTTTTGTCTCTAC